GGAACTGGAGACTGGAGCATGGAGAGGAGTAGCCTTCGGTGAGTGGCCAGCCCCCGACCTGGGGCCATGATGAGGTCCCAGCCCAAGCTGCCTTTGAGGGCGGTGTCTGAATTGTGGCTACACAGTGGCAGGAGTCGGTGTTGATATCTGTGGCTCATACTACCACATGTGGATGTCCCTGGTCGGAGAAGCTACAGGGGACCGTGTGGATGACCAGGGGCTGTGTACAACTGTCCCTGCCTCTCACTAGTGAGCAGGCCCTGCACCTCACCTGAGCAGCACAGTTGAATTGGCCATGGTAACAGGGGCAAGGGTGAACCAGCACTGGAGAGAGCACTGGAGAGCTGGCACTGCCACTTGTGTGCAACTAACGCAAGGCACGGACAGGTCAAAGCAGGTTAGGAGGACAGTGAAAATGCAGATATACTCAGGACAGTGTGGGGTTGGCAGTGGCCAGAACCCCAGCCCAGGTTTGGTTTGGATAGAGATGGGGTGTAAGTACTGGCTGAATGCCTTGAGGCATACATATGAAAACCAGGTATCCATGGTAGGCAAGGGAGTGTTTATACAAAGAAGGTAGGAACAGATCCGTGTCCTGCATAATGGGCCTCTGGGAAATAGATCAAGCCTTCTGAAAGACCAGGGATGGAGCCTGGTTAAGTGTATCTCCTGTTGTATCAAAAGAAGGAGAACTCAATGCTAGCTCCTGATGATAGTGAAAGCAGAGTTTAAAATCCATCCAAACCTAGGGAGTGTGGTACAGCCCTGTAATCCTAGCACCTAGGTGGTAGAGAGAGGGGAATTTGGAGTTCAAAGCTGGTCTTGTGTATGGCAAGTATGAGGCCAGCCTGAACTACATGAAGCAGTGTCTCAAAAATTTTATGTAGACACCAAAAGCTAAGCCTGCTGGGGAAGCCAGGAGTGCTCCAGCTGAGCTTCTAGGACTTCCCTCTAGCAAAGCCTGTCCTGGGGCCCAAGTGGAGTGCGTTTGCAACTTTTTCAAAAGATGCATTTTCTAGGGAGAAGTTTATTAAAGTTTTGTGCTCTGACAAACTGATTCACAGCCCCTGTCAGAGCATGTCCGTGTGACTGGAGATGAGTGCTTAGACATAATGCCCAACAGAAAGAGGGCCAGAGGTGAGCAATTGGAGGTATCGGCCACTTGGTTTCCCACTATGCCAGGGTGCAGAGCCACTGCCATCAGAGGTGTAGGCATTTGAGTTCTTTCCTGAAGCAATGTTACTGCCTATGGTTACAGTCTAAACCATGACTGACCAACTCTGCAGCCAACTGTGAACTGCATTAAAGAACTCTGGGTAATCATCCCTTAAAGAGCACATACCCATATATGTTTGAGTATGTCTTAATGTCTGTAACTTTTATTAAAGGAGCCCACACCCATGCTTTCAGGTATTATTTTCTGAGTTCTTCTCTATCTCAAAGATACTAAACCACAACTGTGCTTTATTACAAAAGGACTGTTTCCCTGCCCTGGGGTTAAGCCTTCTGGAATGGATTTTGGACGTAAGGGTGGTGTGGAGCCACCTGTCTAGGGTGGCTTCCCCACTCTTCTCGTATGGAAGTCCATGTGGCAGCTCCTGCTCCCTACTCACTCCAAGGTCAGTCCTAGTCTTTGCTGCCATCTTGGACTCCTGACCTTCAGAGCACTCTTTCAATGTTGACAGGTAGGCCTGGCATCTCCACTGTTACATCAGGATTGACTAGGTACTGACATATACATGTGGAAATTAGATCCTGATGGTGCAAAGGTCGGAATACCTATGGGTTTTCCCAGGTGTCTTCACTTTGTTTCTTGACTGAAAATCAGGCACCTTGATCCTACTAACTGGATGCAGGTTTTTCTCAGCAGATTTGACCCCAAATTGGTACTTAGAGATTATGAGACTGATACACTGGTCAACCTATCAAGTGTTGTCTATCAAGCTGCTTTGACTAAGATAAAAAGTCTCAGTGCAATGGTACCACCTCCTGTGTGCTCTCTGAACATCTTTTTGTCCATCTGTGGGAACATGTGCATGCCTGCACATGTCTTTGAGCAATAAAAGCTTATTGAAGAATAACAACAAAAGGAACGAGGTCCTAATTTTGGATCCCCAGTATACATGCAAAATCTGGGTGTTGAGGTTAGGGTCTTGCTGTCTATTGTAATGGTAAATGCAGGCTCCAAGACCTGGAGTCTTCATGGAGACCTGTGACACTATCCCCAAGTTATTTCTGATCAGTAAATAAAGATCCCAACAGCCAATAGGTGGGCAGAAGAGACATAGGTAGAGTTTAGGATTCCTGGGCTTGGGGATAGGAGGAAAATCACAAGACAAGAAGAAGGTGTGTAGGAAGCCGCGGCTTGCACTGGCAAAATTCGCCATTCCAAGATGGCGCTGGCATCCGGTATTCCTCCTAGTAAACAAGTAAACTGCGCATGTGCTATGGTAAAAACGCGCGCCAAAGTCATAGCCCATCCCAGGGTGTTTTGGCGGGCGACAAGTAAGCAGCCAATCAGAGGTGAGCACACCGCTCTAAGGGTATATAAAAAGTGCTTTTTCCGGGCCTGGGGTCTTCCTCCATTTTGGTTTTGGAATAAATGTTTTGCTGCGGAAGGATCCTGGTGTGTGTCCACGTGCGTTCTTGCTGGCGAGACGATTACACGCGCATCACAAAGGTGAAGGAGGAGAGAGAAGCCACCATGGGTTGGGTGAGTCATGAAAATGTGGCCCTGAAGGCTGGCCAGCTGGAGCTAAGAGCAGCCCAGAGGAAACATAACAACCAATGACTTGGAGTTATCAATAGGAAAGTAGATTGTAATAGATATAATAAATAATAATAGATGGATGATAGAGGGCAGACATCTGCCCAGCTCTTGTGCTGTTTAAGGCTTATTGTAAATATCAAGGTTGGTGTGTCTTTTATCTGGGAACTAAATGAACAAGGCAGGGTAGAAACCCCGGGTCAGGATTAAAAATTTCTACAACAGCTGCACATGGTGTTGAATCTGTAACAGTAGCACTGGGTAGGGGAGCAGGAGGGAGAGAGGGGAGACACACTCCTGGAGCTTCTTGGCCAGCCAATGTGGACAATTGTTAAGTTCCAGCTCAAAGGAGAGGCCCTGAAATGAAAAATATGTTTCTTTTTGACCTTTTGCCTTCATATGCACAGGTGCATACATGAACATATACACAACAACATACATATACAGTATGCACACACACACATATACAACATGTATATACAACACACAACAATAAAACAAAAACAAACAGACAAAACAAGAGTGGGGTTTGATGGTCCATGCCTGCTGTTCTAGCACCCAGGCAGCAGAGGAAGAAGGATCAGGAGTTGGAGACTAGTTTGTGCCAAGAATAGACACAAGACATTGGAGAGATGGCTCAAAAGTTAGGAGTGCTTTCTGCCCTTGCAGCGTATCTGAGTTCGGTGCCCAGCACTTATCTTATTGGATGACGTGTAAGCCTCTGCATCTCTAGCTCCAGGGGACCCAGCATTCTCTTCTGGACTGCAGGCACCTGCATATACTTACATTCCTGCCACCATACACATAATTAGAAATAAATCTTTGTTGTTGTTTGAGACAGGGTCTGAATATATAGCTCCGGTCTCCTGGAACTCACTATGTAAAACAAGCTGGATTTGCACTGGGAGAAATCCGCCTGCCTCTGCCATCTGTGCGCTAGGATTAAAGATGCACCACCACCACCACCTGGCAAAAAATAAAATAAATCTTAAACAAAACAAAACCTGAAATAACAAACATAACAGACTAAACACAGACAAATGTAAAAGTCGCCCCCAGCTTGCCAGCCATACAAAACCAGGCTGTGGACTGGCTTTACCCTGTGAACTGCAGCTTGTAAACCTGCTCTATAATACTTTTAGAGCAAAACCATGTCCTTGTCAAGACTAGGGGTCCAGGGCTTTGATCTCAGTTACCACAGGAGTAGCTCCAACATTCAAATCCCAGTTTCTCCAGCAGCAAGGGCCACATTATTTATCTTGTTGGATAATGTGGTAACTTGCCTGGCATGGTGGTGTACACCGTTAACCTTAGCACTGGGTGGGCAGAGGCAGCTAAATTTCTATGAGTTCAAGGCCAGCCTACTCAGCATAGTGTGTTTAAGCCCAGCCAGTGCTACACAGAGAGACACTGTCTCAAAACAAACAATAAATGTAACGACTGGCAGGTACAGTGGGCTTTGTACTTAGCTGATGGTGAATCCTAGCTTTCAACATAGTGTTTTCTTATTATTTGTTTGTTTTAGGCTGATACCCAGCAAGGATATTGGTGAAAAAATTTTAAATAATTTATTTTTTTCATAAATACATCCTGTCTGCATTTTTTGCTCCCTCCATTCCTCCCAGCACAGCTTCTCTCCACTCTCCCCCAGATCCATTCCTCCTTAGTGTTCCTTAAGAAAAGAGCAGGCCTCCCAGGGATATCAACCAAACATGGCATAACAAGCTACAGTAAGACCAGGTACAAACCCTCATATCAGGGTGGGTGAGGCCTCCCAGTAGGAGGAAGGGAGTCCCGAGAGCAGGCAAAAGAATTTCTAACCCTTCATGTGTTTTTTCTGGATACATAATTAGATTTTTAGGACCTGACATATTTAAGCATAGTCTTTGCAAGTCATTAACTCTTCCCAAATGAACCACAGAGGTTTTCTAGTATTGCCACATTAAACAAACAAACAGACAAACCCACCATGTACCTGTCATCCTAGCACTCAGGAGTCTGAGACACCGAATTTGGGTCCTCTGTAAGATTGCCAAGTGCTTTTAAACCCAGCTACAGAAATCATCCATCTCTTTGTGACACATATACCACATTCTACTGCAAGGTTTTATTAGGTGGCTCTATCCCATGATACTCTTTGTACAACTTGAGAACAGGATTGGGGTTCATCTCTGTATCCCATGCACCTAGCAGTGGTCCTAAAAATCAGTGGCCACCCAGATACTGTTCTGCACTAGGCCTGGAATGAGACTGCTTTGCTTCCAAGCTTCCTCAGGGCTGCCTTCATGTCCTTGTTCCTTAGGCTGTAGATAAAGGGGTTCAGTGTAGGAATAACCACCCCAAACATTAACGCAGCTGCCTTGTCTTTCTGGGAGGAGCTAGGGGATGCTGGCAGTAAGTACCCAGTAAAGATGGTCCCGTAGAACAGTGACACCACAGTGAGGTGGGAACCACAAGTAGAGAAGGCTTTCCACTTGCCCTGAGCAGAAGGGATCCGGAAGACTGCCCTGAAGATGCAGATGTAGGAGACTAGGATGCAGGACAGTGGGCTGAAGCCCATGACAATGCCAAAAGCAAAGATCACTAGCTCATTGGTGTGTGTGTCTGAGCAGGAGAGTTTCAGGAGGGGCATAAGGTCACAGAAGAAGTGAGGGATTTCTGACCCTGCACAGAAGGTCAGTCGGGCCATGAGACAAGTATGAACCAAGGACTGGAGATTAGTAATAACCCATGTTCCACTCACTAGTAGTGCACAGACACGTGGGTTCATGAGCACTGAGTAGCGGAGTGGGTAGGCAATGGCCACCAGCCTGTCAATGGCCATCACTGCCAGGATGAAGCTGTCTATAGTCCCAAAGAGGTGAAAGGCATACATTTGGACAAGACAGCCTATGAAAGGGATAGCTCTGCTCTGGGTCTGGATGTTTACTAGCATCTTGGGGACAGTAGTGGAGCAGAAAAAGATGTCAACCAGGGACAGGTTGCAAAGGAAGAAGTACATGGGTGTGTGCAGGCGAGAGTCTGATATGATGGCTAAGATGATGAGCAGGTTTCCAAAGACAGTGACCAGATACATGGACAGGAACAGGCCAAAGAGGACGGGCTGCAGGTCCGGATCCTCTGAGAGTCCCATGAGATGGAATTCCAAGACTGTTGTTTGGTTTTCTGGTGCCATAGAAGAGTCTGTGTTTACTGAAATGGAAGGAGATGGACGCAACATAGGGCTGGAGTCAGAGATGGGGGCTCTAGTCCTGTAGAAGCCTTTAAGGTTATGTGGAAATCCATTTACTCCTGTGAATAAGTTTCTGTAAGCTACCTCCAGTGGTTTTTGTATTCTCAAAGCTATCTAAGTCTGAGTAATTAGTGTCTCAAATTCCTAACTTAGGTACCTGTTCAGCTTGGATGTTGTCCAAGGTGGGTGACCTTTGCCTATGGTTCAGATCTGGAAAGTTCCACAAATACTCATATGGTAAAAGCTCAGACAGGCAGCCTGTGGGAGGTGGTAGAAGGTGGTTTCTGGGGCTGGAGAGATGGCTTGGCAGTTTAGAAGACTTGCTGTTCTTGCAGCAGACCTGTATTGGATTCCTAACACTCACATTAGGTGGCCGTCTGACCATAGAACAGACTTCCACTATGTTATCCTACTATAATTGAACAGAGCCAATGGACCGTAACTGAGACTCTGAAACCTTGATCCAGAATAAACCTTTTCTCCTTTAAACTTGACTGTATTCAGGTATTTTGGGATAGTAACTGAAAGCTGACATACATCAAATCTCAACTCCAAACATCTACAGTAAAAGGAACCTGGCATCTCCTTGTTTTTTTTTCCCCCAGATCTCTTACCCTCTTCATCCTCACCTTTTAAGTTTGTACTAACAAGAAATAATTTGAAGGCTGGAGAAGTGTCTGTTAAAAGTATTTGTTAGTCAGTCAGGTGTGGTTGCACATACCTTTAACCACAGTACTTGGGATGCAGAGTAAGGTACATTTTTGAGTTCAAAGCCAGCTTGGTCTATAGAACAAGTTCCAGGACAGCCAAATCTACACTAAGAAACCTTGTCTGGGAAAACAAACCAAAACAAGAAACTAGGGGAAAGTGCTGCGGTGATTTCAATAGGAACATGAATCCTTAGGTTCATATATTTGAATGCTTGGTCATTAGGGAGTAGGAATCCCTGGATTAGGAGGCGTGGCCTTTTTCGAGTATTTGTTGAGATTGGCCTTATTGGAGGAAATGTGTTAAAGGGGGTGGGCTTTGAGGTTTCAAATGTTCAAGCCAGGTCCAGTGTCTCTCTCCCTTTGCTCCCTGCAGGTCCAGGTTGTAGAATTCTCAGATCCTTCTCAGCACCACATTTACAATGCTTCCCACTATGCTTCCAGTCATGTTGATAATAGACTAGACCCCTGAAACGACAGACAAGCCCTAATTAAATGTTTTCCTTTCTAAGAGTTGCTGTGGTCATGGTATCTCTTCATAACACTAGAACACTGACTAAGACAGGTCTATCTATTCTTTTAGAGAACATGAGTTTGGTTCCTGGCCACCCACACTGGTGAAGCTAACAACTGTCAGTAATTCTAGCTCCAGAGGATCTGATCCTTCTTTTTTGGCCTCTGCACTCACATGTACAAACACACAGGCACACACACACACACGCACATGCACAGAGAGAGAGAGAGAGAGAGAGAGAGAGAGAGAGAGAGAGGAAGAGAGAGACAGAGAGAGAGGGGGAGGGAGAGAGGGAGGGAGAGGGAGGGAGGGAGGGGGGAGAGAGAGAGAGAGAGAGAGAGAGAGAGAGAGAGAGAGAGAGAGAGAGAGAAAATGAAATAAAAATCTTTAAAAGGGAACAATTTGAGTATCAATTTTAGGTTTAGAATACATAAATGAATAGAGAATGTACTACATAAAGAGGGCTGGGTGTGTATAGTGTGTGTCTCTCAAGCAAGAAGTCCTGCATTTGATCTCCAGTATCACAAAAATGTGTGCATAAAAATTGTGTGTATGCAGGTACACAGTGGAATACTATTCAACTGTAAAAAGAAGGAAATTTTGTCATTCACCACAGTATATATGAATCCAGAAAAGGTTATGCTAATGAAACAAAAAAGCGACATAATCTTAGTTATATATGGCATTCAGAAAAAAAGGCATCAATAGAAGGACAGTAGAATGGTGATTAACAGGGTTTGGCAAGCGTACGGGTTGCAGTTGGTCAAAAGATTTAAATTTTGAGTCAGATGCATAAATTCAAGAGACCTATAACATGGTAAATGCAGTTAATGGCACAAATCACATTTTTAAAAGCTGCTGGGGCTAGAGCGTTGGCTTGGTGCTTAAGAACATCTGCTTCTTTTGCAGAGGAGCAGAGTTTAGTTCCCTCAACCATGTGGGGTGGCTCACAACTGCCTGTAATTCCAGCTCAAGGAGATTTGATGCCATCTCCTGGCCTCTGCTGGCACCTGCATTCACACACACACACACACACACACACACACGCACACGCACACGCGCACACGCACACGCACACGCACACGCACACGCACACGCACACACACCGAGAAATAAAAGTAAATTAAAACATGCATAGAAAATACTGATGTTGTGCATTACTCATTTAGCTTAGTCACTATAAAGCATGTGTAGATTTTAAAATATCATGTGCAGAATTTTAAGAATTCTGTTCAGGGCTGGAGGAATAGCTCAGCAGTGGAGCCCTGTCTAACTTACACCTGACTCTGGGTTTCATCCTCATTATTGTGAAAAAGAACTTCTGTTTACTTGCAAATAATATTTAACTAAGCAATATAATTACAGTCACAAGTATAACCAGCAAGATCAGGTTTGGGAATAATTAAAGTGAAGCCATTCACTTTAATGAATGACTTTAAGTTGATGAAAGCAGAAACAGGCAGGCAAACATAGGAGACCATTTATCTTGGGTTCTCCATCTGACCTGGGGTTTTGTACCCCACCAACCATGCACCCAACAGCTGAATCCCTTCCCCTGCATGCATTATGCACACATATCTCTCTCCATACTGCACCAAACAACCTCAGTATCCCCTCAAGGCCCCATCCACACCAGTGTTCACGTCCTCCCATCTTTGAACAATGCTATAAGTTTTCAAGCCCCCTGCTAACAATCAAGTTTAGACAGTTTGTATTGAGGTTTATTCCCACCATTTCTGACTTTGATTAATAGAAAGTTCAATCTGTACTGAACTGGTTTTGGATACATTCACATTAAGGCAAAACTATATCCACAAGTAAAGTTTAAGAGACTCTCTTTACTGTGTTATGTATTATGCATATGTATACTTGGAGACACATTAAATTCAAATGTAGTATAGAATGGGACATGTGCACTAGAGAAATGACGCTGTAACCTGATCTGTTAATCAAAATAGAGAACTACCCAAACTCTTATTAAAGACTCCCCTTGAAGCCCACTGAAGGAAGCTCTGACACAGTAACCAGGGTGCTTGAGTATTCTCACTACTGTGGCTCATTGTCAGTCTTCTCTCTGAATAGTTTTCTTGATTCTTCTGCAAGTCTGTGTGAGTCCTTATTATCAATTCTTGGGAAAAGAAGCCAAGAACCTGCAAGCATCTGGCTCTAACTCAGACCACCAATAACCACCTTATCTTTGTTGGTAAAACACTCAGCAAGCATGCCTCTACTCCTGCATTCAGCCCTGAGCTGTACAGAAACTGCTCATGCTGGTGCAATCCTGTAATCACAGAACTCAGGAGGTGGAGGTAGGAAATTGAGGAACTCAAGACCATTCTTGGCTACATGAGAGTTCCAGGCTAGTGTCAGTACCAACTGTCTCAGTACAAAGCAAAACAAAACAAACAAGTAATCAACCAAACAACAAACAATTCTTTCTTGCAGCCGTACACTGCCAACAAAGTCTGTTATTTGCTTCTATGTCTCAGTGGCCAAATTCATGGCCTTTAATAAACATTTACCCAGAATATGTTAGGTACTAGGTTCCCTCTGCTTCTTTTACAGTAAGTACATGAAGCCTGGAGTGATGGTGAACACTCATAATTCCATAACTCTGGAGGCTGGTGTAGGGGCATCATGAGTTGCTGATCAACTTGGGCTACAAAGAGAGACCATACCTCAAAACAAGACACCCTTTACCATTCTCTCCCCAACCTCAATATCATTTCTTTCCAGCAAGGATAGATATTTTGCTGTACTCGCTTCTACTCAGTTAGGAAGGCATCTTTATGTCTCATTTATGATTCTTATTTCCTCTCCTTCAAAGAACATTATTTTTTAGAAAGATGTAGGGATTGCTGAGGTAGAATTAGGATGTACATGATAGAAGACAAGATGGGAGGAGATGTGGAAATGTGAAGAAACTAGAAAGCTGCTTATATGGGCAGGCAAGAAGGCTGAGTGAGTAAAGGTGCTTGCTACCAAATCTGAGGACCTGAGTTCAATCCACATCTTTGAGGGAGAGAACTGACTCTCTCAGGCTGTCCTCTACCTACCCTCCCCCCATAAACACACACACACACACACACACACCCCACATAAATAAATATGTCAATGAAGAGGACCACTGTGACTGGGGAAAAGGCTCTAAGAGATGAGGGGCAGTGACAATAAAGCAGAATGGAAAGAGGGGGGAAACAAGAGGGAAGGGTAGTCTGGGAAAGGGGGAGCAAACTGAGGGAGGAGGAGGAAAAGAAGAAGAGGAAGAAGAGGAAGAGGAAGAAGGAGGAGGAGGAGGAAGAGAAGGAGAAGAAGGAGGAGGAGGAGGAGGAAGAGAAGGAGGAGGAGGAGGAGG